CTGCTGAACATGTACAGATGGCACAGGGAGGGAGACCGAGCCTTGAAACACTCTTCCATTAAATCTGCATTTAGATGACTTTAAATTACAAGAGCACGTGTGTCAGCACATTCTGTAGAGATGAGTTAGAAATTGTTTCTGTTCAATTTGCAGGATTATTTCTCCCCTCTCTTTCTTTACGTCACACTTCAGGAGCACATTGCTCAGTTGACCTATTAAAAACATTTGAATTTCCCAATACTTTTGCACCTTATCTGCTAAGGGCCTAGTCTTCTGCAGCGCAGAGACGGCAGTGCAAAGTCTCTTCATCACTAAAGCGCTGTGAGGATTCAGTGAGTGTGCAGAAGGACATAGGCCTTGTCTGTTTACAGCAGAGTAAATTGTACCAGTTGTCTGACACTAACCAGTTCACCTTCCCACCCAACCTGTGTCCCTATCCTGTCGAAACACTGTTCCCTCCCGTTAGAAATACTCTGTGTTTGTTGTACGGGTGATACTTTATTTTAATGGAATCGCTAAAATGCATGAATAACAGAAGGAAATCTCTTACGATCTTTTAACTGTTGTGTATTCTCATCTTTTCTTCTCCCCACACCATCTCACCTGTGTTCACCTTCCTTTGTTTGTGTTACGTCTATTTTAGATTGTAAGCTCCTCAAGGCAGGGAACTGATGCTTCTCAACTGTCTGTAAAGCACCTTTTACAACTGTGGTGCTCTTTGAAATATCAAATAATAATAAATATTAGAATCGATTCCCAATGAGTTAAAAGTTTTATTTGTTTTTAATGTTTTAGCAACAGCAAGGGCGGCAGGCCCGTATGACACCGTGTAAGGAAGGTGCTCAGAGGACTGGGGGTGACAATGTAAGAACCTGTGTGTTGACGGGCGAGCAGGGTTGCTGTCTGGCTGTCCTTCGGTGTTTGACTGCTCTTGCAGACCGCTGTTGCCGATGTAACCTGTACAACCATCCTTCATTGCTTTCTCTCTCTGTTGTCTTTGATAGCAGCGTTCCCCTTATCAATACCCTCATCATCACTCCCGTCTGATCTCCTCTCCGAGCAACTTTGAGCACATCTACCACATGACTGTTAATTCAGCCGAAAAATTCCTCTCTTACGATTCCATAAACCCTGCATTTTCCCCGCCTCCACGCTCTGTCCTCGGTACTCCAGACTTTATGACTCTGAGGGTATGAACGGCTGAATCAGGTGTTCACTCTACTAACTCTGTGTGGTTTTCCTTTTGCCTGGCTATTAACATGGGAGAAAAACCCTTGTAAGCGGTTTCCTTCACCCCTTAACTTTCTTCTGTCCCAGCTGATTTATTTTCTGCTATCAGCTGTGGTCTTTCCACGGCTCTGATGTGCCAAGAAAGAGATACTTCATGGCTTTAAAAAATAAAAAGAAGTGTATAACAACTGGGCTGAATGTTTTGCTGTGAGAATAGCATTTTTAATCACCAGGAAGGATGTGGGAATTTTGAATTATGTTCCACAGTGTTCATCCTCCAGCAGTCAGTGGCAGGATGCTGTGTATCAGGTTGCATTAGGAAAAGGTTCTGGATCTCTCTGTGTTGGACCAAACTTTCGAACTGTTTGTTTATGGTGAAATCATGTGGAGTGCAAGAATTTTTACACAGTACTGTACATAGATTGAGAGAGAGAGAGAAAGACAGGTTGTGCCTCAGACAGTTTCTAGGTTAAAGTAAATAAGTGAAGTTAGAAAACGTGCAACATATCAAAAATTAAAGATAATGGCAACTTGCTGATGTAGATCCTCTTAATCCTGGTAGTTTAAAGCAGAGGCTGAGGTAAGATACTGTTCTGTAGATATCCTTCCAGTTGGAATGTAAACTGGGGGGATGGAAGTGGACTTTTCTTTTTTCTTGTATTGTGCATCCTGGTCTGACTCCATGGGGGTTGCTAGGTCCTATAGAAATACAAGCCATACTAAAACAGGCACACAAGTCCCTGCCGTGCATTGTAATTGTGTACCGTGCTGTAGCCTGCAGTTCTGCTTGGGACAGGTTCGCAGATAAATCAGGAAGAATCTGTGAGGTAGATGTATGTGATGGTGGTTGGTTGCTGAGGGTTCGTATGGGTCTGAGCCATGCCCACTGCTGTAATGGAAACACCGCTGTTGGTTTCTGTGGCTTTTGGACACCCTTCAGACACGCATGGCAAAGCTTCACCGCCAGACTGCTCCGAGTGCCTTTTGGTTGCTGTTCTAGATCCCTATCACTGGGAAGGTTTTTGGATACATACCTGCATACAACACTAGAGAGAATTTAAAAACGCAGGAGGAAAATTAATCTCTTCCGTATGGCTCCAAAATGAATTTGCACAGCTAAGCTTTGACTGGTCACGTGCGTGGTGGTGTGCCACTGTTGTGAAGTCCCAGTTGTCACAACCATTAATATTCAGAAATGAAGCTGCAGCATTTTGGAAAGCGTGCCCTGTGACGACAGGTCTGCATCCATCCTGGCTTTTCTGGTAGGAGGAGAGATGCAAATACACAAGAGGAATGCTCTATTGAAATGCAAAAGAAAAATATTGTTAAGCCAAATTGAAATTTGTTTCTCTCTTAGAGGGTCATTACAGGGTCACCGAAGCTGTATTTCCATTCTAGTTTTAACAGGTTTTTTTTTAAATCGAGCTGTACTATAAAATGTTCTATGTTTAATATGCAGTGATGTATCACTGGACTGTGACCCACCCTCTACCTTTCCTTTCTCATGTGAGTAGTCTCCCTGGGATCAGTAAGGAATGACCCCAGTGTTTTAGACTCTTAATTTTTTGCTTTAGGAGCGTCCTTCATCCTAATGTGGCAGTCTACTAGCATAAATAAATTGGAGAAAAAAAGTGAAGTGGGCAACGTGGAGTGTTGAGATCTTGTACCTGTTAGCTCCTTAGAGCGCTAGAGGTTTAGTCTTGTATGAAGAAAAGCGTTTGTCTCCTTTGTGGCTTGAGGGTAGAGATGCTGTAAGCTGTATGGAGAGCAAGGCGGTGTGGTTTGGTTTCATGTCTGTCCATCCCCTCTTTGTGTTTGGAGAATTTAGTGTAAGAAGGGTAGCACTCCCTCTGAGGAGTACGTGGTCCCAGGTACAGATGGGATATTGGAACCAAAACAGCCTGGAATCCATACAGGACTTGAAAAATGACCCGTTAAAGCAGGCTTTTAGAGTCTGTCGTACTATTTCATGGAAGAATCAAAAGCTCAGGTTTATAATGTAACGAACAGAACACTGCTTAAAAACAAAAAACCCAAAACGCAACAAGCAGCATGACGGACAGAGAAACATAAGCAAACCATTTCCTATGGGTGTTGTAACTGTTTAGTTAGACCTTATATGTACGTTCTTGCCCTGCTGCCTGAGAAGGCAGCGTGGGAGCAGTTAGCGTGGGTGCGAGAGCTGAGGCTCGGGAACACCGCGGAGCCGCGAGCGTAGCAGCGATTGCCCGTACGTAACCCACAGCTCCACAGCAGCTCCGTTCTCTGGCTGGGAATGGGATGCACTGAACTAATTTGGGTCTTTCACCCTATTTCACAGTGATTAACTTTGCTCAGCAAGCAGCTTCTCTGCTGCTGGTTTTTTTCCTCTTCTCTCACCTTTCTCCATCTAAGCTAGGATTTGAATTGTTGCTCTAAATGAGGGGTTTTTGTCTCTTAAGTAAAGCAAGCTCAGGTTTCGTGGGTATTTTTTCCTTTGTTTTTAACTTGCTGCGTTTTGCTGCTTTATAACTACCGCTAATAACCGCTGTTTATTTTTCTTTGAATCCCCTTTCTGCATCATGTGCATATCACTTCCAGGGGTTTTGGTGCAAAATGCCAGGGTCTCTGGCATGTGCTTCTTTTATTTTTAGAACAAAGAACAATGAAAGATTTGCTTTGTGGAGAAACTTTCTACGAGGAATTACATGGACTTTGCAAACTGAGGTCATGAAAAAGAATCATCATTAGAATACGCTATTAAAATAAATGAGTCTTTTTCACACACCCACCCGTTCCCTCATTCCCCTGATGCCTGTATGTTGTCTGCTCACTATTAAGGAGGTTAATCGCCTTAGCATTGAACAGAATTGTTCTCTTTGCAAAATGAACCATTGTAGGTTTATCAAGTACAAAAGACCTCCCTTGCAACTCCAGTGGACTGCCCTCAGTGCAGACGTTTGCATGGTGCTGCACTTGCCTTCCCTCTGTTTCTCAGAACACAGCAGTAACTTCTTCCTTAGCCCGTTAGTTCCTTTGCATATTGTCCGGGGAGCCTCCATTGCTTACGTGCATCCAGGATGCTCATACTCTTACCTGTAACTGATTGTTTATTGTGTGGTGAAGGACACAGACGCTGAGGTTTAGTATTTTGTACTACAAAGTAGGTTGGTTGTTCACATTAAAAAAAAAAAAAAGAATCAGAAATTATTTAAGAGACTTTTTAAGCCTTCAGGTATAAATCCTCATTGAGAATAGCGGAGCAGTGGGCGAGAGGAGAATTAAACAGGGCTTTTTCATTCGTAAGATCTCGGATTCTCTTTTGCTGGTGTTTGAGAGAGATCTGGGAACAGGAGGAGAGATTTTAATTCTTTCTTGTTTGTTGCATGTTAAAAATCAGCCATTTCTAGCCCCCTGGGAGAAGCAAAGGGCTAACTGTAAGAGCAAAGGGGTCTGTTACAGCAGTGACTCTTAAGGATCAGTGTAAGACTGGACTGACAGCAGGTTGGTAACAATTATCTGATAAAGCCTGAACTGTATAAAATCTGTTCATTACAAAGTTTCTATTTAATTATCCATTTTAAAATACAGATAGAGAGCTGGGTAGTATCTGAGGGTCTCTCAGAATACTTTTGCCAGGGGGGTGGGGGGGAAGGGGGGGGGAATCTTTGTTCTGGTCTGAGATTTCCATAACATCCTAGCTTAAAAAGGCATTGCAATTGCAACTGTTGTTCTATGTGTGGCTACTTTACTTCAGAGTGAGGATGGGGAAATAATTAAATATAAATAGGAAGAAATTACAGCTATTGCAGGGGGGTGTTTTGTAAAGTGGAAATAAAGTAATGCTCAGAACTACCTGCGATTCTTTTCACATTCTGCATCCGTAAAGGTCCCCTAAACCTAATTCTAGTTAATGCTAATGACTTAATAATACAAATCATGTTAGGAGCAGGATGAAGTCTCATATTTAGCCAGAGATGAAATGGTACACATGGGCATTAGAAAGTCCCTCTGGGCTAAGAAGCCAGCTCATATAGAGAGAGATGGGCTAAACAAGCTGAGAAGCCTTTTCCCCTAAGGTCAGCTGTAAGTTAACAGAAGCAGAAATAAAATCTCCCAGAACTTACTTCAAAGTACTCTTTTCCCTTCTTTTAAAGACAGCTTATGTTTAAGGAACTACCCTATCCAAGTAGAAAAACTGTGGTTTATCTCTTCCCTCAGTAAAGGACCGCTTCAGTCCAGTAACTTACCAATTTACAAAATCACACTGGAACTCTCAGGATGCAAAACAGGAGCATTAATCAAAATACGTAGAAAAACAATGGCATGTGCTCTGGTCATCCTCTTTGAGCAGGCTGAGAACAGGAGGCTGATTCTCACTTTGGCTCAACTGGTGTAGGTCTGGAGTAATGCTGTTAATACCTTTTGAATTACATAAGTAATTGAAATACAGATTGATCCGCTATGTGTTCATAACTCTGCAGGCATTAGGGATTAACATGGTTATTGTGTAAGTTACACATGCATGGCACAAATGATGGCATCAAAGAGAGAAATTTTAATAAGATTCTTGGAAGCCTGTGTTCAGAAAGAATGTGTTATGCGATATAACTTGAAGATATCTATAGCGGCTTAATTAGGCTTGCAAACCATCCTTTCAAGGAAATTCTTGAATTATTAGACATACTCTTTCAGTTGTCTGCATATGTCCATGTAATTCAGCACTTCACTATCGCATTGCGTGTGCTTCCAGTCTCTGCACTAAACTGCAGAATATTATTTTGCAAATTTTGCTGACTTGCTGCCCAGATAATTCAGCTCTGGTAAGACTGGGGTTTTAATGTATTTTGGGGCCTTCCTTCATAGCATCCAAGGCTGAGCCAGCAGTCAATAAGTAAACATGTCATTGTGTGTGTCTGCATTGCAGAATCTTCGGCCTCAGGAAAGTCGGACCGTATTCAGTGGCTCTGTCAGTATCCCATCGATCACGAAATCCCGCACAGAACCAGGACGATCGATGAGTGCAAGCAGCGGGTTAGCAGCACGTAAGCAAACAGAACTGTGTTGCTTTGCGGTCTATGCACAAGTATTTTAGGGAAACAGCTACCTGCATTTGCTTCTATCCGTACTGCCACTAGACAGGATTTTCAGAAGTGATGGCTGACTGTATTCCCGTTGAGGGCAAGTACAATATTTTAATCGTGCTTTCAAAGGAGCACATGAATAAGCAGCTAGCACTTTTGAGAGCCCCACATTTGTAATTCGTCAAATTTTTAAAACTGACGTTAAAATTAAAGTTACATTCTTACCCTTGGGACTACTTTGCCGCTGCTTAAGTGTTTTAAATCAGTGGCAAGTTGTTCACAAGCTCCATGGTTATTAACTTTGTTGCTTAAGTGTGTAGAGCTCTTGATGCCTCTCTTGCTGCTAGTGCAAAGAGAAACCAATAGAAAACTGGCTGCTGGTATGGAAGAGTTGCATTGCACTGGAAACACCTGTCCTAGTGCTGCCGTGCTGCCTCTGTGTGCCAGAGTCAGCACAGGGACCTGTGCTGAGACCGGGCAAGTGACTAAATAATGGCCCGTGTGAAAATAGAGGCAAGACTGGTGTCCCGCATTTTCTAGCCTTTTTCCCTTCCTGTGGCACATGCCACGTTTGTTGCACATTGCCAACTGCTTGCAGAAAGTGTGTGTGTCTGCTGTAGTCTGTACCTGCCGGTACAACCCACCTACTCCTGGGAAAGAGGCCACTGCAACTAGGCTGCCACCACAGCAGTTTCTACAACTGCTGTCATTGTCAGGAACATAGCGACTGTGTCTGTGCTGGGTAAAGTGTGCTAATGCGGACACGCCAAGGGAGGGACCAGAGAATCCCTAGGAAAAACTGCAGCTGGCAGCAGACAAGATAAAAGCCCACACAGCCTGCAAGCCATGAGCTGAGCATCTTGGGACGTGCTGGAGGAAAGCAGAACTAACCAGAGAAACTGCTAACAAATTTCTAGTACCTTGAGTGGGTGTCTGTAACACAGTTTAATTCCTCCGCCCATTTTAGGATCATCTGCACAAAACGGGAGTGCTTTGCGGAGGGAATTCTCAGGAGGTAGCTACGGAGCAAAGCGTCAGCCCATGGCATCGCCCTCAGATGGTTCCTTATCCTCTGGTGGCCTGGACCAAGGCAGCGATGCACCAACAAGGGACTATGAGCGAGAGGTGAGCGACAGGAGAAAGAGGAAAAAATTTAAGTGTGTTGATAAAGATGAGGGAGTTAAATTCTGTCATGGGTTTGGCTACAAGTTTGGGAGTGGTTGACAATGAAGACTTGGATTTCCTGTATTTCAAGCTGTCCTGACAAAAGACTTTGGTCAAACTGTGTCAACTCTGGTCCTGGTATTTAACGTGCAGAAAACACTCTCTGCGCTCCTTACCTGCAGATATGTGGGTAGTGAGGCTCCCAAAAATACTGGCCCAGTAGAGTAACAGCTTGATAGTGACCTGTCACAGCTTGAAGTGGTGATATTCCTTCTGCCCCTTATTTGCAAAGCCTCTTAAGCTATCTTAGCAACCATTTCACAGGAGACATTTTGTACTCAGAGTGCCTGAAGTTAACAAGGTAATTTAAGAATTACTGTATAGTAATTTCATTTAGAGCAGAAGCTGGATTTAATAATTTATATTCTGTGCAGAACAAGACTATAATTATGATAGGACTGCAATCCTGCCCAGTGCTAAACACAGTCCCTCCAACCAAGAATGTTTTACGTGGGAGGGTTCAATCTGAAGTTGGCCAGCAAAATTTCCCCAGCCCGTTTTCGTACCAAGGAGTGAGAAAATCACAGATCACACAGGCTTTTTATGGTACTGAATATATCCTTCTAGTTGAAGCTGGAAGGCAACTGTCAACCCAAACCCTGGGAGTGACATAGAAGAGGTAGCGGTGATGAAGCCTATACCACAAAGATTTCTCAGTTTTGTGCAAGAGCATCTCAGATCATAATCTGTGAAAAGGCAGGAGCCACCGTAGCTTCACAAGCAACCTGACGTTGCACACTCTGCTGACCAAGAGGCCTGTGGAAACATGCAGACTGCAAGATTCCTGCAGGTGCTGTGTCCTTATGTCAGCGTCAGTTATGCCTGCTGAAAGCAGAGTGATCTGACCACTTACTCTTAAGTCTCCCCAGACTGGGAAATTCTGAGCAAAAAAAATTCCTCAGTATTTTTGGACACAAGCAAAATACATGGAGGCCTTTGAATCCAGTCACCTGTTGCTCAGACACCCTCAGTCACTCTCAAACTTGCCATCCTGTTACTTACTGGTGTTCTTTTGTGTCTTTGGGCTGCAGGACTCTGACTCTCCGAGACACTCTACTGCATCAAACAGCTCCAACCTCAGCAGCCCTCCCAGCCCGGTTTCTCCTCACAAGACCAAGAGCCTCTCCCTGGAGAGCTCTGACCACGTGAGTTGGGACTCATGAACTGCTTCAGCATTCAGATTTGACATCACAGCAGCTTGCTGTCCCCATGGCTGTCCCCTTCACTTGTTCCAGTTCTCACCTTCATCATCCTAACCTTCCCCATTCCCTGTCTGAAAGTGATCAGGGAGTAGGGTACAGAGGAAGGTAAAAGCTGGTCGTCTTCAGCACCGTTGGGCACTGCCTCACCCTCCCTTCCCCAGATTTGACAGCAGCAAACAAGCAAAGCTAGGGTGTTGGTAAATATCAGATGCTGTAGATTTGTATTAGTATTGGTTTCATTTTTGTGGTTACAGCTGCTTTGTTTTTGAAGACATATTATCCCACCTCCCTTCCACTTCCCAAAAAGTAGCTTAAGTAGACCAGACCAGTATCAACAAGAGAAAATTCAGAGGGATTTTGTTTTCATACAATAGCTCATTGTACTGTACAAAAGTAGCACAGACCCCTTCCCCTGCATGGGGAATGATCAGTATGTCAGAGGCACATAAAAGCTTTCAGCCACCACGTTTGAATGTCAATCTGATTGTCGCCAGCAAATCCTTATTGATTAAAATGATGCATATTTTACTACAGTACAGAGTTTAAATAAATACGCAGATGTTAGAGTAAAATACGTATGTATATATTCAAAGAAAAAAAGCATTGTGTATGCAGCAGAAGATGGATGCTTATTTAAGAGAGCCTTTAATTTAAGATTTGTGTTGTCCCTGTTTTCATGCTCAGTAACATACAGACTTGGAGGCCTGGCCTAAAACCTTTCGCAGGACAGATATTCCTTTTGCGTAGCACTCGCTGCACTGGCAGGAGAGGTCCCTGCAGTGCTTTCACAACATTTCTTTACTTCTGGCGGTAGCATAACTGAAGCTATAATTCCTACTTTCATGTTAATCCCCCATCCTTTGCAAAAATGACAACGATTGGAAAGCAACCCCCTGCCCCGACAACCAAGGGCACCAGTCAGCCAGGTGGCTGCCCTGGTTTCTTGTGTGCTAGCCGTGCAGCTGAGGAACCTTATGGCATGCTACAGTAGAGGTCCTTAAGGCAGCAAGGGAGTTCAATGCAGCAGGATTCAGCA